TTGAAGTCGATCGAGAACATGGTGAACGGACTGCAAGAGAAGAGGAGGCGCAGCCCAAGCTTGACGCCCGGCGGGCACAGGGGCGAAGCGGACGCTGGCGGAGGGAGTCCGTGACAGGAGAACGAGCCCGTGACCAGCACGAACGACGACGAGCCCGAGGACGAGCAGCTGGCCGAACCCTGCGAGCAAGAGGAGCTCTCCGGCGACGAGAGGGAGCCGGACTCAACCTCCGAGCCGTCGTAGCAGGGGAGAGGCGAGCTCCTGGCCGGGACCCGCCTCTGTGCCCCGAGCAGCCGGCCACCTGGACAAGGGACGCCACGAGCAGAGACTACGAAGTGCAATTTTAGCCGGGGAATAGATGGTCGCTTGCAACGCGGCCCTGGCTCCCTGTGAGTGTGTACATAAGAGAGAAAGAGAGAGAGAGAGAGAGAGAGAGAGAGAGAGAGAGAGAGAGAGAGAATGGCCGGGGTGGATCGCGTTCGAACTGTGCGATCTAAGGATAAAGACGCTAAGACGGTGTACATTTTCTGTTCCCGGGGCACAGACGGCGGAAGGGGAGGGGAGGGGTGGGAGAGGGTTGAAAACTACTGGTGGCCACGGGTGTCCCGTTTCGAATCGTTTTGAAACGTTTCGAACCACTTGGAGTGTGAATGTAAATGGGAGTTATACGTGGTGGTTCTTTACTTTCGGCGGAGTCGCGCGATTCTTATGGGGTTTTCTTTTCTTGAGGGTCTTGGAAGGCTTGGTGAAACGTCTTCGTGCAATGTGTCAGGGATAGAACACTGGAGATGGATGGAGTATATGGTGTACAAGTACAAAGGTAGAGGAGGTGTGAAGATTCCAAGACTTTCAACGTGGTTTTAAATTTTCGGTAGCGCTTAAAGTGATTCGAAGCGTGGCTACAATAGGTGGATAAGAGAGTTTAGAGCGACAAGATGGTGGCCGTCGCCGGTTAACACCGGCTCTACCCGCGTGCGTCTTAGGTGTTTAAGCGAGGCGAGGGAGACATTGCAATACGAAGAACACCTCCTACCACTTTGCAGCCCCTGTACATATGTACCCAGAGAGACGTAAACGACGCATAAACGCACGCTACCCGATCACGCCTCGACGCCCTCGAAAGTATAGTACAGCGAAGGGGAGATACAAAGAAAAAATTTGCTAAACGGGTGAGAAAAATCCGATTCGGATCACGGAAAATGATCCGCCAATTGATCAGAAAAATTCGCGTCGACGCGTGTTTCGCAGGTGAAAAATAAGCGAAATTCGAGCGTCGTTTCGACGATTCGAGAGACAACCGCCGCGCACCGGACCGTCTTGCCTCCTCGGGCGTTCTCGACTCGAATCGGAACGACACCCCGAACGATCTCTCTCGGCCCGTTCAACCGACAATTTTTTTGACGTCGTCGCTTCGAAGAGAAAAACGAAAAAGAACACCGCTCGCCCTTCCCACCTAAACTCGCGGCCCTCCTATTTGTATAAACGTTAGCGATCGATGTAGATAATCGCGGGAAACGCCGTGAAACGTCGAGCAAAGTCGGCTTCTCGAGGACGATCGCGGTCGAAGAACGTGGAAGGGAAGCGAAGGTTTTGTTCCGGGCCCGTGTCGTTTCTGAGAGCCGAGTTGACCCATTGAACTCATGTGTTCTCGTAATTAACCCTTTGAACGACGATATTCTTCGGTTTTCTTTCCTCGACCGCTACGGGTGTGAGAAAAGATATCGTACTGGACGGGAAGTTGATGGAACATATGGTTGCAGAAGGGTGGATAGCACTTGGGCATGTCTTTCTCGACGTTAGAGTGCAATTTGCGTTCGTAAAGCTCATTCTTGGCGGCTGATGTATGTGCAAATGTACAATTTACACTTTCTCCCCGACGATTTATGGTAATTTATGGAAGAATCCTCGTTTACAACGAGAACTTTTTTTATTATCGATTTTTTCTATGGAATTGTAGTATACGCTATGAATACTTTCTGTTGCTGTTACCGTGTAAAAAATGTGAAATTGTAATTAGTTCTCGTTTAATCTGTCCTTAATCTAGTGATTAGTGTATCTTCCTATTTTCTTTTTTTCTTTTTTCTTTTCACAGTTGTAAACTGTCGTTGAATAATAATCGAGATATTCCTACCCCTGTGTAAATGTCAGTGCTTCGTAACACCGTGGAAACGTTCCGTTTAGAAAATATGAGAGACTGTGGTTATAGCGTGGAGGTACTAGAACGTCGCCATAATTATTCTTCGAATGGTTCTCCCCTTTTCTTCTTAATTCTATTGTAGACCAACTCGTGATACCTCGGACACCTTTATTATTGTATAAAAATGTGAATACGTATATCTGTTCCTACGATTTTTTTTTTTTTTAATTAATTAATTAATTAACGCTACTTTGCCAGTTACAAACTGTCATTATAATGATTTTTAAAATATTTTTTTTCCTATTTAAAATTTTAAATAAATGCGATGTCTGTTAAATTTTTTTCTTTTTTTTCGCTTTCCCTGATCCATTTGTAATACATTTTGCATTAAAAGAGAATTGAATAAAACTTCCAGCACCACCCTTCCTTTTACATTACGACGATAAAAGAAAAGAGTATCGAAAAAATTCACATTTAACGCATCAAAAACATGACATTTTTTTATCTCACGTCCAGAACGATAGCATCAAAGTCAAAGGGTTAACGCCATTAAATTCCGCAGGCTCGTCTATCTAATTTCCATTTCCATCGCAAAAAGATCGTTTTCCTCAACTTCTCCATTGCTCAGAATCCGCAAAAGAAAGGAACAAAAATTCAGAACCTCACAATAGCAGCCTATAATTCGAGGAAAACGAGCGAAACGTGGACACCTCTGTCGATCGAAGTGAAAATAGAGCCTAGTGCTGTTCTAAGATCCGAAAAAGATCGACGAATCGGTAAAACGAGGAAATGCGAAGCGAAAACCGTAAGGATCGAGCGTAAACGAAGCTCTGATAGCGACATCGTTGCAACGCGCATCACTCGGTGCGCAGGCTAGGGCCGTATCGTCGAGTAACGGGGCCCTGCGATAGCGAACAAAAAAGAATTACATAATCCACGATTTGTCCATGGAAGTTCCGCGAAAATCTTGCTCAACCATCGAACCCTACTTTTGTTTCTATTCTCTTCATTTCCACTCGATGCATCTACGTTGCGGTTAATTCTCGAAGCGCGTTGCGTACGGTCCTGTGTGCTCAGAGGGCATATGAGTGAGTGAGTGAATGAGTGAATGAGAGAGAGAGAGAGAGAGAGAGAGAGAGAGAGAGAGAGAAAGAAGAGAACACGTTGTCGAGAGAAAAGCAATAAAAATAAAATTGAACAAAAGAACAAGTGTAACTCGACGAGAATCGAAACGATCTGAACTAACACGAGAATCCGTGATATTCCGTGGCTTGTATTGTATATTGAAGAATTATATATATATATACGTATATATATATACATACATATTAATTTAAAAATACGACACTGACTTTTTTTCTCTGTGTCTTTACACCCCGTAAGACGTTTATTCGAATCTTTTAGGAATATATAATAAGTGAGAATTGTTTTTTTTTTTTATTACTAGGAGGGTAGAGAAATCGTGCAACGTTATACACTTACCTTTTACACCGCATCTCGACCGTCCAATTATTTTCGCTGCACGCCGAATTTGTTTCGCCGGTTTTTATTAATTTTCGATCAAATTAAGGCGCCAGGTGCAAAAGTAAAGTTAACGAGATCCAAGCGTGCACGAGCTTCTCGAGGAAGCTGCTTCGGTTTGGAACAAGAGATCCTCCCGATATAGCGATTTCTGTTAACCGGTTACTCACGTCGTTCTAGGTAAGTGATCGACGTCTACTTCCCGCAGAAAGATCCACACAACGTTTCACAATATCGAACGAACTAACCCACATAAAAACCCCGTAAAAAAGAAGAGAAAAGAAAACGTTAAACTGGAGCTTTTGCGCGATAACTGAACGAACAAGGCAAACGTGTACCATCTGGTGTCGAATCTAGTAATCACTGTTAATCACGTGATCGATTGCCGGGCGTAAGTAGCATAATAATCGTTGTCGCGTCTTGGACACGGTGATTCGGCCAGAATTAAAATAAATAAAATCGCGGCCCGTTCAAAATCAGTCCTCGAGGGAAGGCGAGTCTCTTAATTTTTCCGTCGCGTCCGCCATAAAAGCTAACGACTTAATCGCACGTGAACGTACAAATTGCGTGATTGTATAATTAGAACCGGCCCGGGGACCCGTGTAGCCGGGCATTTTTGTCGGAAACGCGCGTCCTTTTCTCTCCGTACCACGAAATATCGCGGCCACGTTGTAAACAAGCTGCCTACGTGAATATAAATTATTCATGTGCTCGCGCGCGCGACCATACGTACACGGGACAGAGGCGATACGGCGTTGTGCATCGGTGTGTGGGTGTGCGTGTGCCTGTGTGTGGATCCATGGAGAAGAGAGAAAAAGAATAGCTGAATTCATGCAGGTTTCCGAGGGTGCGAGCATGTACAATATAATGACGTGGAAATTGTTATTGAGGTCACTTCCGCGGAAATTTCGGCTGGCTTGTTAATTTCGTGCAAATTCGACAACGGAGAGGGAGGTGAGGTTATTTACATATTGCATCGTTGTCGCGAACATTTTGCATGTGCAGATTTCATTAAGTGCGCGCCGTTCATTGTTATTTATTCGTCGGATATCGTGCAACATTCGGGATTGAAGTTAACCTATATGTTCGATCTAATCGAACGGCGTCACAATATTACGAAAATCTGATCTAACCTATATCGGTTGCGTGTAATTCCAAGGGAAGCAGGTTATATTAAATTCTCCTGGATATTTAATAAAAAAAAACGACGCCAGATTATCGGTAACGTTTAATATGATCGATGTATCATCTTTCATTATCTCCGTGGCCGGACCTCCGTTCGCGAAACGAGACGAAAAAGGCGGGCTTCAGCCGCGAGTAATAATTATGAACCTTTTTTTCAGCGGCAACACGTTGTAACTGTTAAACGTAATCGCGAAATCTCCGGAACGTCGACTGGTTCACCTGGGTGTTCCCCATTAATTTTGCAATTTTTGCGAAACGTACGATCACCGTA